TCCTCTTTGTTTTTCTCCCCAAAGCCCCAGTGCGTGGTTGTATATTTTAAGTCCTCCTAGTTCTTCTACGTGAGCCCCCACAGCATGGTAACTGACAGACGGGTGGTGTGATTCTGAGACGGGAAATGAACCCGGCCACCAAAGCAATGAGCACCGAACTTTACCCACTAGGCCATCAGGACTGACTTGGTTTTTACATTTTTAAAGGATTTTAAAAAATCAATTATTACATGACATGTGAAAATTATGAAATTCACATTTCAGTGTCCATAAATGAAGTTTTATTGGAACACAGCCACGCTCATTCATTGTCTATGGGTGCTTTCTTGCTACAACTGCAGAGTTGTATAGAGACTGTATGGTCTGCAAAGTCGAAAAAATTTATTCTCTGGAGGCATCTTTGAGCGGGCCAGGTAGACACCACGAGCAAAGCTCACCCTCTCAAAAAAACTTATAGACTAGAAGTCATCATTGGAATTAAATGGTGGCAGACGCGGCCAAGGAATATGGTGGAGGTGTGATCCCTTTACGAATCTCGTGATGGATGAAATGTGTGGAGATGGCAACTAGTGGGCAACAGAACAATACTGGAATGGTGGTAATAGCATCATCACCATCAATGGTGGAATGAGGAAATAGTATCATCGTGTTAGAAGCCTTCAAAGGACTATCAACAACAGCTGTGATGACCAGCGAACTCAATTGCTTCCACAGGCTCCCTCTCCACAGCATGTTTTACTACAATGAAAGAATCAGGTGCTATACATTTTCTTATTGAAGTTTTTTGTGAGACAAACCTTTGTAACAGTTAAAAAAAAAAAAAAATTCCCTGGCCATCTACTGAAAGTTTGCCAACCCCTGGCCTAAAATAATCAGTTTGGAAGCGACCGTGGACAGCTGTCATTATGCGAGGTACTGTAAAGTGCTTTACAGATCTTACCTCATTTGCTTCTAAAAATTTTATAGGGTAAGCATTATTACCACTTTTTAGATGACAAAACTGAGAAAGAAAACTTTGGCAATGTCACAGAAGAGGCTGGAATCAAACAAGGTCTGCATGATTCCAAAACTAATATTCTTTCCACTGTACAGCACGCACTCCGCAAGGCTCTGGAGGACACGTTCTGAATTATAACTAGTCTTCTTTGGACCTCCACCCGTTGGTCCTAATCTTCTCCCTTGAGGCCATCCACACGGTAATCTTCAAATATCTAAAGACTGTAATTTTGTCCTGCCTGAGTCTTTGATTCTCTGGACTCGACATTGATTCTTTTACGAATTTCTATATGGCATGGTTTTAAGTCCCTTCACTGTCCAGATTACTTCCTATGAACATATTCCAGTTTGTCTATAATCACTTTAAAGTGTGGCCCCTAAAACAGAACCGGAGGGGCCAGCCTGGTGGCACAGTGGTTAAGTGTATATGCTCTGCATCGGGCAGCCCAGGGTTCACCAGTTTGGATCCTGGGTGTGGACCTACACACTGATGGCCAAGCCATGCTGCGGCAGGTGTCCCACATATAAAGTAGAGGAAGGTGGGCACAGATGTTAGCTCAGGGCCAGTCTTCCTCTGCAAAAAAGGAGATTGGCAGCAGATGTTAGCTCAGGGATAATCTTCCTCAAAAAAAAAACAAAAAAAGCACAGAACTGGATACAGGGATATACTATAGAGCCATCAGCAAAGAATGCCTCTCTAGTTCTAGATTTTCTACATCTTTCCAACTTTACCCATGAAGAGTTGACTTTTAGGACCCAAAGGCAAAGTCTTACACTTATTACTACTGAATTTCACTTTGTAAGACGAAGTTTATTATTCCTGTCCATTGAGATCTTTTTGAATTCTCATTCTGCCACCTGATGAAGTTGCTGTTCCATCTAACTCCTTTCCATCCACATACCATAGCCATGCTTGTTTTTTGTCTGGGTCACTGGCAAAAAATGCAGTGAGGTTTAGCCTTCATTCCAGAAGGTGGCAGCCATAGGCCCTCTGTTTTATCAAGAGCTTCCTAAGTTGTCTGACTGTCCTGTTGATCCCGTTGGGAGGGCAGACTCAAGCAATAGTCACAGTTCAGGGGAAACTCCAGGTGGACATCATCACTTTCAATGTCCTCTCTCCTAACACCCACATAGCCACCTCTACAGAGAAAGCTAACTTGTTTCAGCTCCTCCTCTTCCTGCATTCTTTCCCTTTCAGGATCACTGTGAGCAGGACACAGGCCACCCAACCTCACCTCCCCAACTGCCTTGCATCCCAGATCTACTTGTATGGGTTGTGTGAACTCAAGCAAGTTCCTTAGCATTTCTGTGCCTCTTTTCCCCCATCTGTGAAATAGGGATAGTAATAATACCTACTAAATAAGCTAATGGATGATAGTAATCATTCAACAAGTTACCGCCCCAAAAAGTTCCATTTCCTATTAGACTTTTATAGCTAGTACTGGAGAAGGGACAATGAATTGGAGTAGTTACAAAATTAGAGATACTTTTTAATGTAAATTGTACTTTTCCTTCATTTATCCTTTATTAAGCTGTCCCTATGCCCCATACTGTCCCCTCATTCAGAAATGGACCAACTCCATTTCCCTCCATGTCCTCTGTCCTGGCCTTGACGTGTAAAGACAGAAGCAAACACATCCTTAACACTCATTTCATCCCAGTTGCCAGTCTCCAGGGAATTTCCCCATTCCCCTCCCCCAGGTCTCCCTTTAACGCAGGAAACGTCCATCTGAGGCATTCCCTTTCAAGCACAGGCCAAGTTAAATGACAAGGTAACTCTCAGGCTCTGGGGAAGGATATCCCTAATCTCTTAAGCAGTAAGACTATCAGGGAGATTCTGAAAGTCCAAGTCACGCTGGGAGTCCCAACTCTTAATGTAGAACTCCAGGATTTAAACAAACTCGATGTGAAAAATAAACCTTTATTACAAAAATTAGTTTTGACATTCTAAAATGAAAGCAGACAAGGTGTTTTCCAACTCCCAGGGGCAGTTGTAAGCTGGAGGTAAATTCCAAGGCTGATAAGAACTGACTCATACCCATCTCGAGTGACCTTGGGAGGGAGGAACCATCCGCCTCAGACCTACAGGAGCAGTGAATCACCTCTGCTTCTCTGTGGCCTTTCCTCCACAACCCTCCCACCCTGTCTCCCAACCATGATACAGAACTGAAACATACTTTAAAAATCTCATTCTTACTGGACCATTTCATAATCTCTACTTTTATTGTCGAATTAGATTTTATTTCCATCTGGAAAACTTATTTTTTATTGGTGCATGACCCTTTACTGACGGTTTGATTTGGTTTTTGTTTTTCCTTTTGGATCCTTGATAGAAAAGAAACCTCAGTTCTGTTAAGGATTTCCAGATAAGGGAACAGAATATGGCAACATGGCGCTTAGTATCCTCCACGGAAAATCTACCCTAAAAGACTCCTTATTTACCCTCTTGCTAGTTCATAAATAGACCTGAGGACTGTGGTGGACGGGGAAACAGGAATTTAAGGGCAAAGAAGGGTCCCAATGGGAAGAGGAGAGCTATGACAGGCAGGCCTACCCTGCTGACTCCTGTTCCCACTGAAATGCAGATCGCTTCATGACTCAGTCTCAAATTATCTCCTCTTTAAACGTCTACCCCACTAAATAAAGTAGTAGTTACTACTTTACACTACTACTAAAGGAGTTCTCCAAATGATTCGCGAACTCCTCCTTCCTCAGGCTCGGGAGTTTTTCCTTAGCTTTAGAAAAGTCTTTTAATGCATCTGTTGGCAGAGGTGGGAGGATGGGCACTCTCTCCTCTCACTTGGTGGGACAGACCAAGTAGAAGCCCAGAGCACAGCATCAGCTTGGCCCGGGGTGCCCTCCTCCCGCAGGGGAAGGCCTGCCACAAGAGGGCTCTGGAATGAGGGTCCAATGTTCAGAAGCTCCCCCTTGAGACGGGAAGGAGGAAGGGGTGCGACAGGGAGCCGGGGACCAGCCCAGCTTGCTGGGAAGCAGGGCTTTCGGCAATTTTCCTGTTCGTACAAACAAGGAGCCAAGGGACCTCATTCCGAACCCCACCCCCTCCCCAACAAGAAACTTTAAGAAACCAAGTTTTTATTTCCAGCAACATCCAGCTACACACAAACACACTCAAAGACAATCTCACCAAAGAACTAAGACGCCCTTCAGCACACACTCAGTTTTAGCATAGAGCTAAGACCACACGCACATGCGCGCGCACGCACACACACACAGGCTCAGCAAAGAGCTAAGACTGCTACACACATCCCCACAGCCTTGCAGACATGTCTTAAAAGGGTCCATCCAGTTGTTCCAGCCAAGGGAGGGGTGACGGCTCGTGCTACCAGCTCCAGCTTTTTTTCTTTAGATCAGTGATTTTAAAACTCTTCTGTTCCATGTCCCCTGAAAGCTCACTATGCTCTCCATGACAAAAGACCCCCATTTTCCTACAGACACAGTTGGTATCAGTCTGCTTGTGTTCAGGAGGAAGAGGATGCAGGAGGATCGATCCCAGGGGCGCTTCCCATGGGAAGACAGAAGGAAGTGGGCTGCAGAGGCGAAAGGGACTTGACGTCGACACCAAACAACCATTTCAGCTGCTCCGGTCTCCAGTTCCCACTCCCAAACAGCTGGGACCAGTTCTCAGTACAGGAGGAAAGAGCAGGAACAGGGTGGGCTCAAGAGCCCTACTGGAGGGCCACCACACGCAGGAGGGTAGGGACTGCCTGCCATTCTCGCCGTCTGGTTGGAAGGGAAGTCCATAGACATCACTCGGGACTCATGCCCAATCCCACATAGGGATGGGGAGTGAAAGCTTTAAACAAGTCCCAGGCCACTCCACAGTGGTGGGAAAGGAAGGGAGGGGGGAAGGAGGATGGGGCACATAGCTGGCATTATTACAAACACATCCTAACTAAGATAAAAGTGGGGGCCACTGTGGGGCTAGAAGACAAATAAGGCATCCTGTGAAACTACAGACATTAGGGGCCAGAGTCTGGTAGCACCTGAGCAAGGCAAGCACAGAGGACAGGAGATGAGCCGGACCAGGTCACACCAGGAATGACGAGGTCTGTCTGAATTCCCCCTGGAAAATAAAACGTCCAAGTCAGTTCTCTATCATCTTCTTTGGCTGATAACCCCCCCAACACAAACACAGGCTAGAAACCCCTCCCTCCAGCCGGGGGGCCCTCCCCATCCCAGGGCAGGTAGACTCACTTCACTTCGAGCGGTGGGCTGGCTGTAAATCACCTTCTTATTCGAACTCGAGGTCCTGTAGACAAGCCAGAAGACGGAGATGCTCGGTGTCTTAACCTCTCCTTAACCTCTGCTTGCCAACTTCAGAGGCCAGAAGTGAGAAGTTTACAGAAGCACAGAGCTCTCAGTAAGGAGGCAACAGTGGAGGGAGAAAGGACAGGCGCGGGGGCCATGGTAAGCAGGGGTAGAGATCCAGATGTCTTCCCTACCAGGCTGGTTGCCTCCAGCTCCAACCCCTTCCCCTAGGCCCATCTCAGCTTCAAACCACATGCATCCATGTTCTCAACCTCAGAGAGCCCCTGGACAGCACCTCACTCACCCTTTCTTCACTCCTGAAAGAGAAGAAATGGGACCATGAGTGTCGGCAAGATAGAAGACAGCAAGGTGTGGGGAGATGGGGGGACTAGCATGCAGCTCTGAGATGTGGGTAATTGTGCTCCCTGGGAGGGGAACCCCGCATACACTGGCTCAGCATCAGGGTCAGTACTCAGATGGCACCCAACAACTGCGCCCTGAAATGGGGGCGATGCAAAGGAGAGTCTTTCAGGGTAAATACTTACTGTCAAAGTAGCCTCGGCTATAGGCGAACCAGATGCCAAAAATCAAGAATCCAAGGAGAATGAGTGTTACAAGGACAGCTGCCACGATGCCCCCCACATTCAACTCGGCTATGAGACACAAATGAGAGGTCAGGCACCTGGATGTTCACTCACGGTACTAACCATCCCGCCAAGGCCAGGATGAAAAGCAGATCCTTTCCCCCAACCCTAGGTCCGAACTCCAGCCCCTGCCACACCCTCACTCACTAGCTTCCATGCGCACAGCGTCCGACCTCATGGGTGTCCCATACCCATTCTGCGCCTGACAAGTGTATTCTCCAGTATCAAAGGCCGACACCGGATCAAAGACCTGGAGAGCAGAAAAGAAATTGGCTTCCTGCTTGAAGAAGCTAAGTACCTATCTTTTACGTCTCCTGACCCTAATGCCAAGTTCACCTTGTTGCTTGTTCTTCCTCCCCACCTTCAGGGGTTCTATAACCGTGCCCCCCACTCCCCACCTTTCATTCCCAGCCGATCCATACCAGCTCCCCTGTCTTCTGATTCAGGCTATAGGAAGAGTTGCTGAAGGCACGGTTGCTCTTGGGCTCCGTAGGCATCAGCACCCCGTCCCTGTACCAGGTGTATTCAGAGGGTGGGGAACCATCTTTCTCTGAGCAGGTCAGCACTGCCCGGTTCCCGATGGTGGCAGAGGAGGGGATGTTGACTGTAGGCTTGGATGGAGGCACTGGGAAGGGAGAGAAAGCGCTGATCACAAGGGCAGGGAGGGTTGCCTGGAGGCTAAGTAGCTGACAAGGATGACACCACCATCCAGTAGCCCCCCCTCCCTTACCATGCCCTGAGTTTCCCCTTAACCAGGGGCTCATCCCCTCTCTGGCAGCACTGCGACTCTGAATCCCCTCACCTGCGAGCATTCTTACCATCAACGAGCTCCAAAGCTTAGCAGAGCCTCCTAAGGGTTTAGGGAAGCAATTGATTCTAAGCGCACACAGAAGACATGTGGCACATACCAAGCACAATGAGCTCGATGCTGACCTCCCCGTAGGTGTTGCCGCCATCATCAGAGACCATACAAGTATATGTCCCCGTGTCTTTCCGGGTCACTGAATGGAAGGTGATGCCGCTAGGCGAGAAGGTAACTCGGTCCTCATAGGAAGCTACCAGGAGAGCGGAGACAGGAGCAGAGTGAGCCAGAAAGCTAAAAGAAGCTGGTGGCACTCAAGGCACGAAGGGCCCTCTTCTTCCCCCAGGAAGGGCTCTGGGAAGGCCGCAGAGACTGGAGCCCCAGGGTGTGCCCCTACCCTGGAATCCAGGCACTGATCATCCCTCCACAAGCTGGGCAATCAGAAAGGAGGCAGAGCCACTCACCTGTGATCTTGTTGTTATAGCAAACAAGGCTGGTGGTGTCGCCTTGGGCAAACTTCCACTCCACACGGGGAGAGTTGAAGCCCGAGTAGGTGCAGGACAACTTGGCAGCTGCAGGCAGAATCCACATGAGCGGGAGGAAAGAGCAGTGGCAAATGGAGAAGATGGGGAAATGGCCCCAAACCACAGTAGGGCTGAATCGTCCCCAGGTCCCCAGGGGTCTGCACCTGCCCACCCACCCCTGCCACGCTCCACAGCCCTTCCCAACTCACGTTTATTCTCAGCGACTCTGACTACAGGTTCAGAAGTGTAGACTGTACCTTTGGTCAACGCCAGGGAGCCTGAGGAGGAGAGAGGTGGGCCCATCAGGAGTGGACGAGAAATGCAGTGAAGAGGGAGGAGCAGTCCCGGCCGACGGAGCATCAAAGACCGCGGCTCCCCAGCGGCTTCTCCAGCCTGGGATCCCAAGGTGAAGGGATTCTAGAGATTCAAGCTCCTCCCGGGGTTTCCATCCTCTCACCAATATCCTAATACCTTCTCTAAAAGCTTTTTGCTACAATTGCAGGCCAATGCTTCTTTTACCAATGGAAATAAACTATGTCCTTCAAGTACCATTTCTTCCATGTTTTTTTCCCCTCTGTGACTCCCAATAATCTAATTAGATTCCTGCTAGTCCGACAGCAGCTTCCCAAATGACATTTCATGGTTCACAGAAAGCTTCTCAACAAATAATTGCAGCCACTTGTCAGACACTCCTGGCAGGAAGCCAGCAAAGCTGGAGGCAAGAGAGGGAAGGGAGAGAAGGAGCAATAATGAGGATAATAATAACACTCGACGTTTGTGGGGCATTTTGTGCTTTTTCAAGTGTTTTCACATACCTTCTGTCATTTGATCCTTGAAACAAGCATGACAGGTCAGCAGGGCAAGTATCGTTATCCCAGTTTTACATGAGGAACCGAGATGACAGGGAAGTAAAGTGCCTCAGATCACATAGCTCGTTCTGAGACGGAGTCAGGACCAGAACTGGCCTCAGACCATCTCATTAGAATCTCCCACCCAATGGAGAAGGGAAACAAGGTGGTGTGTGGTGGGGTGGGGAGAGGGGGAGAGGAGAGACAAGGCTAATTAAATAACAGTGGGAGGGCAGCCACAGGTTCACAGGAGGGGCCCAACATTCCAAAAGAAGCCCGTGACGGAGGATTCTCGAATAGTACTGTTACAAACCTGCTCTTACACAATTACTCTCATTCATGTTTTCAAAGCTCAAACTCATGGCATGTGCTTTATTTATAGCTTTAAGTCAGAGTTCTGTCTTCCTTAGATAAATGCAAGTGCACTTTTCCTTTATTTAATTACTCACAACTGAATATGGGCTCTTGACCTCTGAGGCCCCCTTTTCTCATCTGAAACAGGAAGGGTTTGAACTAGATGTTCTCTAAAGTCCTCGAGGTTCTTTGTGTTTGTTTGTTTGTTTGTTTTGGCATTAACATTTAGAGAGTACTTGACAGAATAACACTGTGTATAAGTCGAAATAAGTATTCTCTCCCTCATTTTAAAGATGAGAAAATTAAGTATCTAAAAGGTTAAGTGAGGGCTGGCCCAGTGGCCAAGTGGTTAAGTTCACACACCCGCTTCTGGAGCCCAGGGTTCATGGGTTCAGATCCTGGCACAGACCTACACATCACTTGTCAAGCCACACTGTGGCAGCGTCCCACATACAAAATAGAGGAAGACTGGCACAGATGTTAGCTCAGGGCCAATCTTCCTCGAGCAGAAAAAAAAAAAAGGTTGAGGGGTTGGCCCACGTTTTCACAGCTAGAATACGGCAGAGCTGAGATGAGCTTACAGGTTACTCCTATACCCCCTTTTTTCCCTTAGTACACTATACTTTTATAAACCATGCTGTTTCTCAGAAAAGCCATCAGTTTAATGGAGGCAGAGCACGTAATAAAATGTCATTCTTTTAGAAGTCAGGTCCATTTTACCTACAAATTATTTCTAATATTACCTTGTATACGAATATATGGCATTACACTTTACTGTCAAATCTATAATGAAATGTAATAACAGATACAGAAATTAAATAGCCTTTACTAAATTGAAAACTGAGGACATGGAAGTCCCTTACTCAGCTCTCATCAAGAATGCTGCTAATAAAATGCTTTGATTTTTGCCCAAGTCAGCTTGTTCTGCTTTGATGGTGGGAATTTTGTTAAGATTCTCAAATTTTACAGTTAGGTACCTGCAAAGTGCACTGTGATGCTTGAAGCGGATCTCTCCTCAGGAATGAAGGACCCCTTGTCCCAGCTGCTGGGGGAGCTCCCAGGGGAAGGCCTCCAGCTATCAGCCATCTTTGAGGGTAACCAGAAAAGCCCCTTGCCCAGGGGCATGCCTCCCACAGGGAAAGGGCGAGGGGCAGGGGCAGCCAGCATCCAATGCCTGATCAATGAGAGGAGGCGGGAGTATGAAGCCCAGCTCCATGACCCCAACTCGGGACAACACTGCAGGGCTATTCCTGCTCCAAAGTTCCTTGCGGAGCAGGCTGAGGCCTTATCGGGACTACAGTGCCACTGAGCTTCTCCCTCTGCCCAATCCTGTTCCGCCCCCTCCTTTCCATAGGTGTGGATCCCGAGAGCTCTCCCTAATAAAGGTCTTGGTACAATAGTTGACATCTCGGAGTCAGCTTCCCAAGAACCCAAACTATGACGCCACCCAAATAAAGAACAGCTTCTAATTACACTAAAAGCTAGCCTTTGAAATAAAGGGCAACCAAAAAAAAAAAAATCACAGCATATGAATTTGGTGATTATTTCTGCATCACTTCTGATGTTAGCTAAAGTTCTTTTTTGAGTCCTCTCAGATCATCGCATGTAAAACACATTCAGGAATTCCACCCCTATAGATACATAGACATATTGGGCTACAGGCGTCTTCTCCTTCTCCTCATTAATCCTGATTCCATGACCTCGTCCAGGCTTCTCTTCTCTTGTTTAAATACAGAGCCTTCACCTCAATGCCTTCCCACCTCCCTCTGATGTGGGACTGCTGATGTCTGCCTGTGGCCTGACTGCCAATGCTCAAAACTCTACTGGGACAGCATATCGCACCATGAGTTAGTCCAGCCTCACCACCATGCCCTCCCTAGTCACCACAGGATACCTCAGTCGCCCTGGTCCACAATCCCCTTCTCATTCCTGAGGATGCCTCTGGAACCAGACAGCCTGCATTCAAATCCCAGCTCTGTTACCTCCTAGGCTGTGCGACCTGGGCAAGCCACTTAGTCACCTGGAACCTCAGTTTGCCCGTTTGTAAAATGAGGATAATAACAGTTTCTACATCAAAGGGCTGTTGTTGAGAGTTAGAGAAGCTAATACAAAAAAAGTGCTTACAACAGTGTCTGACCAACAGGAAGCACCAAATAAGTATTATATCTTATTATCCTCATCATCAGCCCTTAGGCCCTTCTGTACATTCTTCTTTTCTTTTTTTTTTTTGCTGAGGAAGATTTGCCCTGAGCTAACATCTGTGCCAATCTTCCTCTATTTTGTAGGCAGGTTGCTGCCACAGCATGGTCACCAATGAGTGGTGTAGATCCATGCCTGGGAATCACACAGACCACCAATGCAGAGTGAGCCAAACTTAACTACTAGGCCACAGAGCTGGCCCCCACACTTTTTTTTCTGACTTCAAAATTTTCTTCAATAAGACATATAAATAAATATAAGTACTGCCTGGAAAATGCTTACACTCCAGCCCACCAAACCATCTCTCTCTATCCTTATAACCGCCTTGGAAAGCCTAACTCGTCTCTAGAAGCTTCACAGAGAGACCAGCAGAGCTGAGGGCTTTCCCTCATGACAACCTGTCTATACCAGGACACCCCCAGTTTCCCTCCCCTTCTCCTGATCCATTTTCTATTTTCCTCACCTCATCATGGCCCCCTTTTGTACTTAACCTTGGACCTATACTTGGCATATTGTACACACATACAAATGTCCTGCAATGCACACTGGTAGCCCAAAATAGAAGGAAATTTCATCCTTTCCATTATGAAGTTTAATTTATTCTAAATTCACCAAAAAAAAAAAAAAAAAGCCACAGAGTCAAAGGCATCAATAGATTTTTGGCCCTTTTCTGTACAGAAAACCTTCACAGTCTTGCACACCTCTCTAGCTGTTATCCTCTCCTCCCTTCCTCTCCAAACTTTTTAAAGAAGTGGTCTACACACACTATTTCCAGCCCAAAATACCCACTCACTGCTCAACCTACTGCACTGTCTTTGGCTCTCACCTTGGAGTTAAAATTGTTTTTTGGGTTTTTTTTTTTTTTTTTAAAAGATTTTATTTTTTCCTTTTTCTCTCCAAAGCCCCCCGGTACATAGTTGTATATTCTTCGTTGTGGGTCCTTCTAGTTGTGGCATGTGGGACGCTGCCTCAGCGTGGTTTGATGAGCAGTGCCATGTCCGCGCCCAGGATTCGAACCAATGAAACACTGGGCCGCCTGCAGAGGAGCGCGCGAACTTAACCACTGGGCCACAGGGCCAGCCCCGTTACAATTGTTTTTACTAAGGTCACCAATCATCATATTCCTCAACTCTAAGATGCCCTGATTATGAGACATAACATCGATTTAATAATAGCTTCTTGGGGGAAAATTATATTAAATGGATGCATAGGCTGTAAGTCACATCCCAGTTTTCAGAACATTCAAGTACTCTTAGGATTAAGGGTATCCAGCACTTGCCTTTTCAGCTGCCTTCTGTGGCTTCTGGAAGACGTCTGGCCCTGCGGATCACTCCCCTCCTCGGAGGTCACCCCACCCCTTGGTCCCTGCGTACAGCCCTTCTGGTCCTCCTCCTACCTCAGAGTTTTATCTTATTCTCCTTCTTGAACTTTTTGCTTCCTCTGTCGAGCCCTTGAAATTAGTGATCCCCAGCATTCCATCCTGGGCCTTTTCTTCTCCCCATATTCTCTCTAGGAAATCTCAAACACAGCCCAAAATTCGTCCAGCCCCATGTACGGCCAGCTCCAGCCACTGCTTCTCACCCGAACTGCAGACTCCTATCGCTGTGCTTTCTGACATCTCCACTTGGACTGCACACACCCCCTCCTGCCATCTCACTCTGCTCATGATCTCCCCCAACTTCTCTCTTGCTGCTCCTCTCTCCAGCTTGATGGGATCACCACTGACTTGGTCACTTAAACCAGAAGCCTTCAAGCCGTCACCATCTCTCCTTCACTCTAGTCAAACACCAAGCATTACAGTGTCATCTCCCAAACCTCTCTCAGCTTTGGCCCTCCTCTCTATACCCACTGCCACTTTTTAGTACCATCATCATCTG